GTGCAAATGCATTTCACAGTTCCTGGCACGGGTAACAAGGACACCAAAGTTTACTGACATTTCCAATGGTCAGTATGGGTGGCAGACATGAGTTCGGAATGCGATTTGGTTAGATTGTGAATACGGATTTCGATGATGAGCGAACATCAGTGGACTGAAACGTGTCAAACTAAAATAAAAGGATATCAAAATTGTAAGATGGTCACAAATATGGATTGACCTTATGGTTGCAATCAAGCAATTCTTCGTTTTAGTTTTTAATACTTAATACTTTAATAGTTATAACATACAAGTAATTATATATATGAATAAAAAGTGAATCAAAGAATAAAATCTTGTATATGAATGTTTCATTCTTAAGAATTGATCATTTTAAAAGCTTATTAAATAGAAAAGTTAAAATTGTTCAGAATCCAATTTGTTATTACAAGGGTGTTTGACGGCAGCCAATTTGTAAAATATTTGCAGTTTAATTCCGAATCAAATTCAAATAGTTTAACAATATGGGCAAGTGCAGCCAAATGTGCAATTTTCGTAGCAATGAAATCGATCCATAAACAAAACCGCTTTAACGCAAGCAATGTGGAAATCACCATAAACACTGATCCATTTTGAAGCATATACGGGTTGTTTATGTATTTGTTTCACGCTCGTTATTTCAAGTGCAAAGTCATTTTCGGACCGTGTTTGTTAATGAATATGAAACTAATGACACTAAAGCACACGCACACAAACACCCACAGACATACAGACACATAGTACGCAGATATTGGGAAATAGTATTGTGCATAGATTTAGTTTTATGAGCTTAGCCATTAAACCATTTTAGGGATTTTAATGCGCTTAGTCGGCACTCAGCTCCATGCATTATAATAAAATTGTAGGCAAGTTTTCAAGCTAAAACGGCATTGATTTAAGCAAATATTAGTTCAATACATTGGACATTATATTACCGATGAGTCCTTGATGTGCTTGAGGCCCTTAATCGTGGGGCTGTAAAATTTTCCGGACAACTGTCAGAAGCACAAGCACGCAATTGTGATAAGACAGTTGTTTTGCGGTCAGCCAAGCGGGTGCTGTGAAGCGGGGAATAGTGTGTGTGTGGTGGTGGGGGGATAGTGATCTGTAAAGCTTGCCATCAGCTGTGGGCTCAAAGTCCTTTATAGTGGGACATTAGACTGTTTTGTACATAAAGTCATGTCACTAATTTTATAATGCGTGCCGCAAGACATAAAATTTACAAAGCCAAAGTGCTTAGGCCAGTCAAGCATTTGGACACACGCACACACCCACACACATACAAATATACATACATATGTATGTAAAGTCGCCTCGTATGTATGTATGTAAATCCTCTGGTCAAATGTTCGCTATGACAAAATTTCGCATGGTTTTGTGGTTGTTGTTTCCACTTGACGTTTCTTTCTGGTCTTCTCTGTCAAATTGCTGTGTTGACAACTGACACGTGGTCTATCTCTCTCCATCTCTCTGCATCTCTCTCACACTCTCCGTAATATAACTTGAGCTTTATTATTGTCTTTAATTACTTGACCAGTTGGACGGCTTATAAATTTAATGTCAGTTTGTTGCTTTAGTTGCTTGAATTTCCAAAATTGTTCGTGTTTACGGCATTAGCTTGTAATTTTATTACATGCCTGTCCTCTTCATTAATAATTAATGCCTCGGAGTTATGCAAACAGTTTGGCACATAAAATTCGTCTGGCCGGACATGGACGAGTGTGTGGAAATGTGAGAGTGCTTAAGTGTGTGACTATGGTCTTCAAATAATTTTAGTGAGTGTATGGTAATAGTGTTTGTATTAGTTAAGTTAGTTAACAACTTTTTAGGGTATGCATTCACCTTGTTAGCTGTTACTAGAGAGGAACTGTTGCTTGATTGAGCTTTTGAAACGATTGCCTGCAGCTAAATTCCAGTAGAAGCATACAAATCGAATGAGAAATAAAATTCACACAGAAGCTGGAGAATATTTAGACTTAATATATTTGAAATTAAACTTCGGTACAACATAGAAATAATCTTAAAAAAGTTAGCTTAGTATTTCCAGATAAAAATAAATGTAAAGAAACTTTTCTAAAATATCAAATACTAGAAATGTACATAAAACGTTCTCGTTTTGATTTATTATACATTCTCTTAGAATAATAAATAAATTGAGATTAAAACTCAAAGACTGATTAATTATTAGCTTTTCTGTATATTTAGAAATTATTCAAATCATTCAGGCACACAATTTTATTTCAATATATAATTATAATTATAACAAAAAATTTCTGACTTCCTTTATGAATTACCCTAGCTGCGTATTCGAAGTCGCTGGACCAATTATAAGATAATATTTTAATTTCGTTATGCTGCTCATTATTTTAAAATTAATTGTTTCAGAAAAGAAACAGATGCATAACTATTCCGATCATTGTAAAGTTTTTATTGAACAAATAGTATTACAAAAAAAAATAATAAGAAATAAAATAAATAAATAAAAACAACTGGTAAATACAACATGCTGTGGAAAATAGTAAACCAAATAATCAATCCTTCATATACTTATTATATTATTGCTGGTAATGAGTAACATTTCTTCATTCTAGTTCTTCTTATATGCAACATTTCCTTTGCATGTTGCATGCACATTTTCATACTTGTTTAGTTCACGACGAAAGAGCATAACACACTTAATCATAGCTGGAGGCAAAATTTATTTACCTTGTATATTGTCATCAACATGATTAGCCAGCAAACATTATTTATGACAATGGTGTTGAATTAAAATAAGCCTCAGGTAATAATACAAAATACCTAAATGGCCCTGCAACATAAAGCCCACAGATAGTTAGAAAGAGGAGGAGAGTGAGTGAACGACTGGGTTAGGTGGAGGGACAGAGAGACTCGCTAGGCGTAAATTGGTGTCTAATAAACACATAATCAAGGTTCATTTGCTGTTGCAATGTGATGACAGAGGTAGAGGTAGAGGTACAGGGCGATGTAGAGGCGGAACCAGCAGGCAGTAAATTGCATTAGCACAAAGACCAAGCGACAAATCTTGTTCTACTTGCCCCGATTTCGATGCCCTCCCACAAGGACAGGGTTTACAGTTTACAATCTTGTCGACAACAATGTATATGCGTGTGTTTGTTTGTCTACATGCGGAAGATATTTGGCCCATAGACGCACCACCCATTGGTGACAGTTTAGTTTATGGCCCGTAACAAGTTAAGGCGTATCTATGTTTCATTTGAATGCTCTGGCCACAGCAACAACAATAGCAATCATGTTTTCTAATTGACTTGCATTTGATAAATTGTGCAGCCCAATCAGCTATGGTCGAAGAGAAAAAATAACAACAGTTTACTAGACCCAACAAACCCAAATATTTTGGTTGAATATAATAATCCCATCAAAATTGTGCTGATCAATTGCATTTCATTTAAATCTTAGGACCCTACATATTTAAAATAATTGACTGGAACTGTTGATATAAATTAAAAGTATTTATGAGAATTATACTTTTCAATAAAAAAAAACAAATATTAAAGAAACTGTTTTACACAAAAACTAAACAGCTGTTTTTTAAATTTTAGAAGAAACAAACATTATTTTTTTGTATATCAATTCGAAGCTTGCCTTCTCTACCTTTATGTCAGTGTTTTGTTCTTGTAGCTGTGAGAAAATCATGAATTCCTTTGCCGTCTTATGCTTAACATTTCTATTGCTACCTTGTTCTAATTAAATGATCACCAAATAGTCATCATAAGTTTAGAAACACAATAGTTTGCACAAATTTCAATCACTAACATCTTCAATTTATTATATTTTTATGTCCACAAACATTGCTTGGCAACTTAAGGAAACAATATATAAGTTTCAATAAGGCCTTATAAGCTAAGAAAGCCAAAGTAGGAGAAATTTAATCAAATTACAATAATATCTATAATAAAAAAAAATAAAGTAAAATATGACTAATATTTTTACCAAAAATACGAAAGTAAATTAAGCTCGGCAGCTAGTTTTATACAAAAAATTGAAAGAATTTTATGAAAAAAAGTATTTTAATTCAATAAAAATGAAATAGGGAACTTGTCTTATTTACATAATACTAAAATCTATTCATAATAGCTGCATTTGTGTTAAAAAAAAAAAACTGTTCTGTTCAAGGCTAAAAAATGTATATACTTAAAAAATGAGTTAAAAAGTAATATTTGTAGCTCACATTCAAACGAAAATAATGTAACTACTTACATACGTACATACTACATAGTTAGTACCAACTCGTTTAATTTTAATATTCCATTCATAATGTGCTGTTCTGGTTTGTGAATACAATATATTCATGGGTTAATCACAGTGTTTGTGCAGAACAAAATACAGAAAGCAGACACACTAGCTATCCAGCCAACGTAAGTTGGGAAAATGGGAAGTTCTGGCCAGTTGCATTCCAAAGTCCAGCCCCCTTTTTCCACTCAGATTCCAATTTGCTGCTGCTGCTGCTGCCCACTAATTGCTTTAAGCATTGCAGTGTTGCAAATTTGCCAGCCAGTGTATGACAATGCCTTGCATCTGGTTATGCATAACTGAACATGTGTGTATTCCACACCTATATACAAGTACGAGTATAACTGAGCAGTGTTGGTCATTGGCGCCCGGCCCACAAGCAATTTTCGTGTAGCTGCCTCACACAGAGACGTGTGGCCAGTTAGGCAACCTGCCCGCATGGTCAATTGTACTAATTAAACTATGGCACGTTTGTATCGAATATTGTTATTTAATTAACAGCAAATGGCAGGAGTACATTAGTTATGGAGTGTTGTACAAAATTCAGGACTATGGTTCTAGTTGTAGCTGCAGGAACTTGTTGCTGTTAAACATATAGTACAAGGAATGTTTCTTTCTTTGGAGAAAATGTTAGTAGAGTATCAATAAAATTGGAATAATTATGTAGTTTACTTGCATATATAAATATCGTTGCAATTATGTTCAGCAATTTAATCTGAATCGGCGAAAATGATACGATTCGGCTTTGTCATCCGCTTCTTCTTACACGGCATTTCTACATCGGAACCTGAATCTTCAAGACTGGCTTCAGTTTCTTCACACAGCAATTCTTCATCAGATATCGGCTCATATTCAGGGCAGACTTTTGTATTAGTTTCCACATCTAGTACTTTTTTTGATTTATTGGCAACAGCGTTATATGCTTTATTTTCTGCTACTTCTTCATCCGTGGTGGGCTCCAAATCATCTTCGTTGTCGGTCATATAATCCATTTCCGCATCATTAATAATATCATTGATATCACTATCGTAGTCTGGGGCATCCGCATCTACGTCCACTTCCACCTCTTCATATGTGTCCGGCTTCACATCCACATTGCGATTAGTGCGTATTCCAGTGTTGCGTTTAATGGCATTCAATGAAATAGCATTATCGTTCTCAGCATCCTCACGATCATTTATTAGCAAGTTGTCGGAATCGTAATCATCCGCTGTACGATGCCAGGCTGGCTTCACCTTCGGATTGCTGGTGGGTTTCTGTTGTAGGCGTTTCTTTTCGCGCTCCTCCCTTCGCAATTTCACCATCTCCTCTCGAATCTTGCGCTCACGATCGATATTCGGATTGGTGCCGAAATCTGTGAGCAATTTAACAGCGCCAGATGGGGGCTTATAAAATGACCCATTGCGCAGCGATTTCATTTGACTGCCTATGAGTTTAGAGTCCAGTTTAGGACGAATCGACATTTTTTCGGTGACCGCCGACTGGGCTATATAATAATTGCCCTGACGCACATAGTACTGATGATGTTGTGGAGGCAGAGGCTGCTCCACCGCATCGAACGCCTCCGAGCCGATGTGAAATGTTTCGCTGCCATCGGACCAGCGTACGAAACGTGCATTGGACTCCTTCCGGATTTCGCCAGTTTCCGAATTTCTAATCTCACGCCAACGTACTGTATTTTTTAGTTTGCGTATAAAATTTTGACGCGATGACTCGTCCTTGTATTCGTCGTGCGTCATTGTGTAATTGTATGTATTTTCATTATAGACTTCCGCCTCCATTGGCATAAAGTTAAGCATTTTGATATATCTTTGACGGCTACGACTAAAACCGGTGACTACAGCTGGCAATTCAGTTTTGAACTCAGCGGCAATGTTCGCATACTCATCGTCACCCAAAATCGCAGTAACATTTTGGGAATCATAAAACTTGGCCAAGTAATTTGTGTCAGAAACATCGGCATCGTCATCCTCTTCGTTGTCTGAGTCATAATGCTTCGGACTTCCAGGATAAAAACGGTAAAATGAGTAGTCTATTCCAAATTTACCACCGCTTTTCGGATCACATTTAGTACCGCCACTTTTGGTGTTTTTTTTATATTTTCCATCTGGAAGTTGGGCTTCACTTTCCTGCTCAAGTGAAATTGAACGTGAATTCAATCCCTCGTTATCCAAGGCTTCATTTGCGATCACATGCTTTGAACTTTTTTTGATGCTGTCAACAGGCTCTTCTTCTTCAGTCCCCAAGCTATTGCTTTTCTCTTCGATGTTGTTGTTGGTTTCGCCAGAACTCGGAGTATTGGGACGCGAACAGCTTGTCGATCGATTATCCGCATCAGCTTTTTCGAAAGGGGAACTCGCAGATCCAGAACTGCTGCGCGAGCGGTTGGTCTGAACTGTTCCTTTTTCGGAATTCCAGCTACTGCTTGAGCGATTACACTCAGCTACTTCTTCCTCTTCAGAGCTTGAGGTCGTACGCGAACGATTGCTCTTTTCTAGAGCTTCTCTTTTCGAGGGTGCAGGACTATCAGACTCCGAAAAGATGCGCGAACGATTGGCCACAACTTCTTCTGTATCAGACATCGAGCTCTCGCTTAAGGCTCTCTGCTGTCGCGGCCTAAAAGTATGTGGTTTTAATAACGTTTGCTTATGTTGCGTTTTCAACTTACGATTTGTCAGTCAACAATTTCATTTTGCCTGTGCCTGCGGTCGTGTAGAGTTCATTATCGTCTAATTACAAAATATCTATGCAGAACTGTGTTCTCTAGTAGTTGAAGCTTACCTTTATTGTCCGAAAAAACAGATTTACTCATCGCTTTAGCCGATTGATCTCTGGTAATGAAAATTCCGGTCAAGATATTTGAAATAGGAGCAATGTTTTTTCTTCGCTACCTTAGTCTAATTGATTGACAGTAATCTGACAACCCGCCTAAATTTATTAATCAACTCTACGTGATTACATTTGTATTAAATGGCAACACTACCCAGTGTCAATTAAACAGTTAAACTTCAAAATCTACTATAACTCAACATGTCAATAACAAACTAAAAAATAGCGGCTGAGCAATTTGTAGGTCTCTTAAAATGATTAAAAATTCAATTAAAAAAAAAAATAAAGTAAATCCTGACGAATGAACATCTGAAGTTCTTAAAAGCTGTTATGAAAACGAATTCTTTAGATTTAAAGATTTAATTAAGATGTTTAAAAAATTAAGTTGACAGTCCTGTGTCCTGTGGGCCAGGCATATCTTATCTTTTATTTGAACATTACGTGGACATACGTTGTTTTATTGTGGTGATGTTTAATTATGTTCTATGTACTTGGGAGTGTGAAAAGATCGACTGACACCAACGAATATCTTGGGAAAATCTAGTACGAATGGTCGTTTGAGCCAGATACAAATAAATAAATATAATATAAATATTTTGTTACAACAGTTAACAACAACCTGCTCCAAGACATAAAAGAGCCAACATTTATATTTCGAAACTGAACTTAAAGTAATAACTTGCTATACAATTGCATTTATTTATTAATTTTAAGCACCACGTCTTCAAATCAAACTTTCCACAAAATAATATAGAAACTGATAGCACTAAATATTACATCTCACAATACTATAAGTGGACATCAAAAGTTCGCCATTTATTTGTGCATTCATTACACTGTTTCCTCTGCTCATTGAGGTTTAAGTACACTCAGTCCTTTTCGTTTTTACAATATTTATGAATTCTCGATTAATTAAAACTCAACAGCCAGCTCAACGCTTGTCAGCACGCTCAACAGCGGTACATGAAAATCGGAAGTAGGAAATGCATGGCATTGTACGAGTATGTTGCACGACAGAGCCCCGTTAGTGGATGTGCGCACTGGTTGGGGAATCTCACAATGGTCGTGTCTCTCGCACAGCGAATGATTTATTCATGATTTTTTTTTTTTTTTTGCATATGCTAAGTGCACAAAAAGTGCGCATGTAAGCCGGCAAATTATTATATATAAATAAGTCGGTGGTAATGAGGTTGCCATGGCAAACTCGGCAGACACCGCAGCAGCTACGTACCTGAATACGTGCTGAGCGTCTGTGGCCAGTATTTTGATTCCAATTAATAAATTGTTAATTAAGTATGTGAGCGACCATGTAGTGTGTGTCTGAGAGAGAGCTTGTTGAAGCGTTGAAAAGTTTAATGATTGCCCGGCAATTGGTTTGTTTTTATAAATATACATATATACTTGTAGTTCATCGAACTAAAAGCACATGGTTTTTATCAAAATACTTTAAATATTGAATAAAAGAACAAAATGGAAATGCATGCATTCATAGGATAATAGGATAAACAAGAAACCAAGAGAAATTGTAAAATTTAGTGATATTTCTGGGTCCCCACTGATCGTCAAAGTATGGGTATCTGAGGCATGCAAAGAATAGAAAGCCTCTCACCTCACAAAGCTGAATTTAATGGAGCTTTACGCTGTGAAATAATGCTTCATTTAATTTCTGGCAATATACTCACAGTGAGCTGGAATCTAAAAAACGAATGTTTTTACTTTTTTAAAAGCATACGAAACTTTAGATATGTTTAAAAAGTGTTAACCACGATTAACTAAATGCCAATGTTTGAAAGTGCTTCATATTAAATAGACACACAACTAATAATGGAACAGCAAAAACTTTATAACCGTTTAACTTTGCATGATACCGTCGCTAAACGCTACAGTCTCACCAGGATAATAGGAAACTATTCGAAGATGATTGGCTAATCGACCAATAATATTAATTTTATAATAATATTTACCTAAACTAGGCGTTTGACAAATGGAGGAGCAATTGTGCTAACAATAAAGTTACTTCAAAGCATAAATAAAAATATGTATACAAGGTGTGTTCCAAAGTAAACAGGACTTTAAAAAAAAACAGAACAAATGGTTTTTTCGGCAAAATCAATTTATTTTATTCAAAATAGTAAACAGGACTTTTGCACGATCCAAAAGCATGTCGAACGAGTGTTTCAGCTCGTTGGCCGGCATGGCCGCCAGTATTTGTGCGTAACAAACCGTGCACACACCTTTCGTAAGCCCAAATGATCGGTCAAAATGCGATAAATCGATGTTTTGGAGATGTTCAATTCCATTTCCATGATGATTTCGGCTGATTTTTGATGAATTCACGCACAGTTTCGATGGAATTTTCGGTGATCACGAATTTTTGATTAGCCCACATGTTGATCGTCATTTATATCCTCACGACCACTTTGAAAACGTTGAAACCACTCGTGCACTCTGCTACGGGATAGGCAATCATCGCCATAAACTTGTTCCATCAATTGAAACGTTTCGGTAAAAGTTTTACCAATTTTAAAACAAAATTTATTGTTGGCTCTTTGTTCGAAGCTCATTCTCGCACCGATAACACAAACATACTAACACTTAAAACGCAATAACTTCACTTCCAATCGATGAAATGTCATGAAGTTCTCAGTGGACAATCGATAAAGATAGCAGATTCTAACGCACCAGTCGACATATAGATAGCGCCACGAGGGGGTGGCGTCCTGTTTACTTTGGAACGCACCTCCACAATACATATGTGAGTTCTTAGATCATTTACTTATTGTTCGGTTATTTAATTATTTAAAAGATTAATTAATGTTTGCTATATTAAAATTGAATGCATTTCTTAAAGAAGTCTTTTTATAACAAATCTTTCAGTGCCAAAATTCTGGATCCTAAAGCTGAGCATTTTTTTAATATTTATTTTAGCATTAAATATTATATCATATCATTTTGGTTTGGAGGTGGCCAAGGGCGTACCCAGCTTTTACCAAAGGGGGGGCCAAAAAATTAAAATTTTGATTAAATAATGCCCGATGCATTTAAAAAATAATTTATGCATATGATCGGTGAAAAAACTTCAAAAAATAGGCGAAATAGTGCGTCATAGTAATGAACGTGTTGTCGACTTTATAAGGAAAAATTTTTTCTGCCCCCCCCCCCCTGCGTACGCCCTTGGAGGTGGCCACAATATGTCGTCAACCCATTCTTTTTTTCCAATTCTTCTTCATTTGTTTTAACTATTTTTATACCCTGTACCCGTAGGGTAAAAAGAGTATATTAGGTTTGTGCAAAGTATGTAACATACAGAAGGAAGCATCTCCGACCCCATAAAGTATATATATTCTTGATCAGCATGACGAGAGAAATCGATCTAGACATGTCCGTCCGTCTGTCCGTCTGTCCGTCCGTCTGTCCGTCCGTCTGGATGAACGCGAGGATCTCAGAAACTATAAAAGCTAGAATAACCAAAGTTGGCATCCAGATTCTCCTAGGTCCGAGTAAGGACGAGTTTATTTTATTTTTTTGGAATTTTGCCCCCCTTCCCCCGCTACAGAATTTCGTCAATAGCGTCTACATTTCAAATGCTACCTAAACCAAACTTTGCACACATAATTAATATATAATTGTCTACTGTTGTATGAAATTTTATTCAATTCGGTCAATTCTAAGAAAAGTTATTAGCAAAACAAATTCTCCCCAGTGCAACCCCCCCAAACTGCAGCAACAAGTTCGCTCTTCTTCTTCCTCTTTTTGCTGCTGCTATGGGCGCATATAACTCAGTGACGGAAGTTTACCTGGGTACAGGGTATTACACTGTCGGGCTTGCTCGACTGTAGCGTTCTCTCTTGTTTAATATGTACAGAATTGGAAAAGCTTTATCATTTTGTTTCCTGATTATCAGCCCAACGAAACCTATTAAAATCATAGCCTGATTTAAATACTGTAGATAGAATTTGTAAGAATATTTAAACTTATGCGGGTTTTCAGTTTTCTTTTTCACTTTTTCACCTCTTTCTCACTTTATTAAGATTTAATTAATAATAGTTACATAGAAAACGACCCTCTGAGCTCTAAATTTATTTAAACAAAAGAAGACTTGCAAGCATTTAAATAATGTTTTACTACGAATTTGCATATTCCTGTAAATTTTTTGCATTACGGAACCCTTTGCTTTACTTCCACCCAGCACAAATCCTGCAATTATAATATTTGCATAAAATAAATCCCCAAAACATTTCATACCTGCACTTGAAATGCTGAAATGCAAAAACTGCAAAAAGAAAGAGCTGCGAGGAGAGAATAAACGGCTTTAACAATTTAAAATAATATTCTACAGAGTTTTCTTTCCATTTTTCTCCCGAAAATATTCCTTGTTATCCTTGCATGTGTGCGCCTTGCGAGATTGTTAAACATCAAAATGGAGTTTTTCTTTGGTGGCCCCTCTTGACGCCCCTTCCTAGCTTCTGTTTGTTCTTCGCTAAGCCAACTAAAAGCACGCCACACATAACAAATAACAGCAAGTAAACGAAGCGCCAGAGTATTGTGTGTGTTTGTCTGTATGTGTGTGCTTCATACAAACACATACACTAAGACGCACAGCCACAGGCAATACCATCAGGCATAGTGCAAAATAAACCAAAAGGAACAACAACCAACAACAAAAACAAATATTAAAATTTGTGCAATAAAATTCTGGGAAATAAAACTAAAATAAAAAGGCGCATAGCCAAAAATGTTATATTTGTGTGAGTTTATAAATGTGTGTGTGTTTGGGTGTTGTGTGTGTGTGTGTTGCGGAAGTGGCAAGCGCCTCAAGTTAAGAAATATTAGCCCTGCCGCCCTCCTGAGTCTTGCCAATCTCTAGACTGCCTGTGTTGAAAAGCGCTTGACTCGAAAGTTTATCGCGCTCGCCAAATCTGCAGCGCGCCGGAACTGAAGAAGCAGCAAAGGAAATATATGTATCTATAGTATACTATATACATATACTATATGTACTTAAAGGAGAGCAGCAGCAGTAATAGAAAAGTGTATGAAATAAAGAAATCACAAATGCTGGGAAATGAGCCAAAATGAGCTCGCTTGTGATAAATAGAATATAAGTAGCACATAGAGAAGACCATACAGCGTGAACACGATTTGTGAATAATGCAATAGTTTCAAAAGATGTACTTGAAAAACTTTAAAATTTAGGGTACTTTAAGTAAATCTCTTAAATTATAAAGGGTAAAGAAACAATAAAATAACAATGTATTTTTTATTATTAAAATGCTTGATTTAACTTAAGCTAGGTTACTACTTTATGTTATCTAATGTTATTTCTTCAGTTCGAAAATATAAAACTCGTTTCATTTTTATTTATTATCTTCAAATAATCTATGAGATCGATGGATGACCATTTTTTATAAGATTTATAAATAATATGCTTTTAGAAAGATTGCTTCAGTGTTTGGGTTTTTTAAATAAGCCCTATCCTGGATATTTCAACATCTTATTACGCGCTCATTCCTAATTCCCAAATATATATTTATAAAGCAGTGGCTAAATAAAATGAGCGCTGAAAATAGCAAAGTGCTGTAAAAATAAGTTTAATATATCCGCATTAAGATGAGCAACCCAGCACGCACACACACACACTCTCACGCACTCGCACACTGCACAAGCACATGCAAGTGAGCAAACAAGATGGCGTTGTCGATAAAGAAATTCACTTTGCGGTTGACTTTTGCCGGGCGTCGTCATCACCCTGCAGGGCGAAGTCTGCAGTACTCTTAGTTTTCAACGTTTAGCTAGAGGAAAGCAAATAGCAAAAGCAAGTGAAATAAGCATGTGCGCCGGCATGTGGCCGGAAAGAGTAACGGCGGAAAAAAGAGCACAGTTAAGGCAACGAACACCTGCCCCAAAATGCGCACACAAAAGGTGTAAGAAGGTGTTGCAGCTGTTGCAAGGATACGCAAGTGATTTGGAGGTCTGCTTTGGAATTCAACAAAGTGCAGCAAATGATTGCACCACGAAGTGTAGCATAGTGCAGCATTTAACGTTACAGTTCTTGTTGCCACAAAATTGCTTTCTTTTTGAAGCTCTGGTGATAATGGGTGGAAAAAATAGAGCCCTTACATGACTATTCTTAAGCAAAGTTATCAAAGTCTTAGGTGTTATCGTATTTATTTAATATATGACACATCTAACCCAATATTGATTTATAAAAATTAATTAAAAATATTATTTAACTAGTCTTCAATTAAAGTTTTAGTTTAAGATTTCTTAATCTTTATGTTATATACATAAGACTGTAACAATATTTTCTTTGTTTAAATCTCGATTATTTCTCACCACAGCCTTTCTGTATTGACTGAAGGAATAATAATAGCTTCTAATTTTTATAAGTTATAAATAGTTAAATAAGTTAAAAAAACAATTTTATACAACATTTATGACAAAGGTTAATCCAATTTGTCGGAATGCCCTCTAGGTTCTTCAGTAAATGAATTTTAATAGCATATTACCCGGAGTGGACATTTAAGTTGCGGAAAATGGAAAAAGGCACAGCGAATATGATGGTTGAGCGATGACTTTTGTTCCATGTTTAGCGAAAATTAAAGTTGCAAATCAGACTGAAATGTGACGGCGCATTATCGGGTAAAAAATCCATAAATTGTATACACAACGCAACAACTAAAAAGTGTTGAGTCGAGATGTTGATTTCTTCTAAGCGTAAAAAAAATAAAACTCAGCAAAATTACGTTTTACATAATAGTTTCTAAGATAAAAGGAATTAAAATATAGCAAATACGTGTGTATAATTAAAAACCTCAATATTTCGTGCTCTTAGTCAATCTTGCCGTTAATCTTACCAAACTTGAATCAAAACAAATTATAATAATTGAATCATGCAAAAAATTTCTTAGTGCAACTAGATTTTAAAATGGTTATATGCTTTTTATAAAATGTATTTCATTTTGAAAGTTAATATTTGAATAAAAATACAAATTACAAATAATAGCCATCTCCGTTAAAAACTGTTAAAATGAGAAGAGCTCCAATACTAACAATGCTCGATGCACTGTCAACTTAGCACTTAAGACACACATCCTGCCCTGTCCTACACCATCCTGTTGGTGCTATTGCCATTTCTGTCGCCATTTTGTCGCACATCACTAGACGTAAACGCAATGGAAAAGCGCCAGTTAATGGTGCAAAACGCTCTCGTAATGTTTTCTCCGAACGCTCCGCCTTCCCTCCGCAATGCTGTTTGTGAGTGGCAGCGATGTGGACGTCGTCAGTGTTGGGAAACAACGCTGTCAGGGTTGCCAAAAGTGTGTAAAATGATTTTAAGTACGATGCGGCAGGTAAACATGACACGACAGTGAGTCACAACAACAATATCAGTAGCAGCTGCAAAAGCAGCAACAACAATCAAGTTTTATGTATTTTAACAGAGCAAAGAAAAAGAGAACGAACAGAAAATGGCGTCAGGCAGCAAACTGTTGGAGTCGTTGCTGATTCTGTTTCTGCTTCTGTTGCCGTTGTTGCACCTGCATTGTGCCACGTGAAGCAACTGAAGCTGTAACTGAACTCATCTCCGTCGTCGCCGCTGGCCATTTCCGGCAGCGTACTTAGTGCCACACGCACACAAGCACACAGCCAGCAGTCGAAAACACGCACACTTATACAGATACTCTCGTGCTGCGCGTGCAAACTTTACAGTTAATGACGCAACTGTGGCGTGTTTGGAAAGTGTTGAAATTGAAATTATGCCTTTGGGGTTTGTTGTCGATGTTGTTGTTGTTGCTTCCCTTCCTGATATTGTTTTTGTTGTTGCTATTTCAGTTGCTGCCACTTCTATGCAAAATGCAATGAATCGATTGTTTTTTGTTTTTTTTTATTTTTACCTTTGCTAGTTGCTGCTGTTGCTGCAATTGTTGTTGCTGCTGCCATTGGCAACAAGAGCAACAATAATATTAATGGAAGCAAACATAGCTGGCAACCAACGGAAACAAAAACAACAAAAGCAACAAAACCACCCAGCAACAATAGAAGTGCTGTTAACCCAATTGCTGCAACGTGAAGGCGCACTTTAATTTTGTTTGGACAATTAACTTCACATTTGACATTGCATAGTGAAAACATAAAATACAAATCGTTGGCAATCAATATTATTTAAGATAAATGCCCTATTATTATTATTAATATTTAATAAGCTCATTTCCATCTTATTGTTCATAAATCACCCTTAGGCAGCTAACATGCATATAACAAGTAAAAAAGCTAAAGTCGGGTGTCCCGACTTTGAAATACTCTGTACATATGTTTACAATAATTATAGAAAATAAAAAAATTAAGAAAATAAAAAAAAAAATTTGATCGATTTTACCTCTCTCGGTATTCGAACTCACGTAAAGGGTGTATAATTGCACATTTACATAGCAATTGCGTCTGTGTGAGTGTATGTATGCCTATGCGCATCTATTCGTGTCTGTGTAAGCATTTTCGCAGTCAACCAAACAGCAACATCAACAACAGCCGCGGGCAGCGCTTGAGCAGCGCTGCAGCAGCGCTGCATCAGCAAATATATTTATGGCTATAACTTCTTGTTAAATCGGTCTATCATAATGAAATTTGGCATACGGACACATAATAACCAACTGGGGGTATTTCCAAAATTTTAGTTCGAAATTCCAAGAATTACGGGAGTTACGATTTGCGGGGTAGAGGGGGGAGGGAGGGGAATTCCAAAATATACATTTTCTGCGTATTCACATAAGGCATCTGGGACTAAAATTTGGTGTTCCTAGGTCTTATAGTCTCCGAGATATAGGCGATTATACGAATGGAAAATCGGGAAAACCCACATAGGGGGGAAGTGGGGGGGAAAATCAAAAAAATAAAACAAACTCGTATAGAATACACACATAACGCATCTTTGTGCAAAATTTGGTGTCTCTATCTCTTATAGTCTCTGAGATCCAGGTGTTCATACGGACGGACAGACGGACAGACAGACAGACAGGGCTAGATCGACTCGTCTCGTCATGCTGATCAAGAATATATATACATTGTGGGGTCTGCCACGCCTCCTTCTGCCTGTTACATTTTTCACTTCCCGCAAACCTAATATACTTCTGTACATTTCATGTACAGAGTATAAAAATGTATATAGCAAGAGCTATAGAATCATAGGGAGTAGTAAAAAGAAGTGAAAATGATTGGATTAAAAAAAAGGCCCAAAAAAATATACCACGAATAAATTAAATAATTAATACAAAAGTAAAACAATATTAGTAATAGTGGGCCAGTAATCGTAAAGTGAAAAAATCAAATTATATTATTATAAATTATGTTTGGAAAAGCATAACGTGCGTGTTATTGTTTTTAGTGAAAGTAAGTTTGTGGATTGGAAAATTTAAAAAAAGCTGGAAATAGTAATACAATGCATTATTTTAGGATACTAACACAAAATCAATATTATCTGCAATTTAATGCGAAGTTATTCGACATCAGGAGAGCGATGTACGAGTATTTGCGCGAACATCAGGTAACAATTTGGAGTGCTGGCTGAAAAGCTGGTATAGCAGCCATTAGCAATTGCCTCCTTGCACATTTTATTAATCTAAAATCCAATTAGACAATTAGCTCACGATTTTGTAACATTTTTTCATAACACATATGTAGTATTACAAAGCAGTCTATGAAAACACAATAAACAATTTACACTAACTTCCCTTTTGCTCACTTTAAACCAACAAGATAATCACACAAAAACACGGCTGATAGGCTTAAGTTAAGTTAATGTTAGTTTACGAAGAAAAAAACCATCAGATGCTACAACGCGTGAACCCCTACGTACCGAGCTTAACGCTGACGAGTGTCCCGCGGTGTCACGAATTGGTTGTTGCACGACCTCGAACGCCACGCGAGGCTAAACGCGTTCTCTTTCTGAGGAACAATGATTCCGTCTTCAAAGGCGTTCCACTGGCCGTTTCCGCACATCGATATCGCACTTTTGACAAATTGCTGGAAGAAGTGACCGTCGCTTTGCAGCAATGCCAAGGATATCTGCCAGTGGCCATTTGGCAGATACGTCGGCTGAATGGAGTGCTCATCAGAAGCATAGAGGAGTTTCTTCAAGACGATGTTGTTGTGGCACTGTGTAAGCATGAAAGATTTGCCAATATTGATTACAATGTTAAGAAAACCGTTGTCGAGGCTTTGGAGCAAAGAGTGCGATTGAGGCTTCGCTTTAACTTGAACTCAGAGTCCAATGTGTATTCAAACCTACGGAGCTTTCGCCCCCCGACGCATTGTTCGGCCTTGCACCCTCTTTCGACAGAGGCCTTGACTTTGACCCCAGATGTCACAACAAAAAATAATGATATCCCAATAATGCCGGCGACTCTGGCCAAATATTTCAGTGCCGGCAAGCAGTTGGAACATGGCATCTCAGCAGCTATTTTCTATGCCACCCATTTGCACAGTGGCGAACGCTATGTGCTCAAAAAGGTGAATGTTTCAACTGCACAGCATCTGGAGCTTTTAGAATGTGAACTTCTACGTCAGCTGCAAGGACACCCGAATATTGTGAATCTTGTGCTCACGCTGGCTACAAAAAACGCCGCCTATTTGCTATTCGAGGCCATGGATTGTGACCTTTTCGATTTGCAGCAACAGAAAAAGAGTTTCGATGAGTCCGAACTGCGTTTCATAATGAAATGTATAGCCACAGGCCTGAACTATATACACGATCATGAGATAATGCATCGCGATATCAAGGACTCAAACGTTTTGGTCAAATTAAAAATGCCAATGCATATTCGTAACCTAAAGATTACTGATTTCGGTCTTGCCTCCAAATGTCCAGCTGGTTTTGTTCTCTTTCAAATTGTTGGCACTGATGCCTATATGGCGCCCGAGATATTCCAAAAAACTGGTTATACATACCTTGTGGATTGTTTTGCTGCGGGCGTATTGCTCTATACCCTAATTACCAACTTTGTACCAAACGAATCAAGAAAACTAAGTTATCCTCTATGGCCACAGCACACGGAATGCATGAGCCCCGAGTTAAAGCATTTTCTTGCCAGTCTGCTGGAATATGATCCTTCAAAGCGTTATAGCTCCAAACAAATGTTAGAACATGCGTTTCTTAGAGGAAGAGAATAGTTAAGTTATGAGTGGCGAGAGTAGGCTAAGAAAAAGGTTCAATTTAAGCAAGTTGCCATAGAATTCAATAACAGTTGGTCTAATATATCAAAGGCTAACTTATATATATATATATATATATATTTTTTTTTTTTTTTTGTAAATAGAATATATTTTGTAATGTAAAACACTCACAGACACCATACATAGTACGCTTTTTTGTCGACTAGGATTCAAAATTAAAAGTATATTTTAATGGATGGACAAGAATGTGTTATTTTCCTTAAAGAAAATAATGATGAGATAATAAAAAACAATTATCTAAAATGAATGCTTTAATGAATTTATTTCCCAAATTATTATTTCACAGTGCTATCACAAAGAAAGTATAAATATACGAATATACTTATATTTCTCCTTAAAAAATATAATTAATTTTGAACATAATCAACTTATTACTATATAAGATATGTGCTGTTTATAGATTCATTATTATATGAGTAAGATGTGGACTTTAGCCAACAATTAAAGAATTTGAAAAAATCGAAAAAAAAAAAGTAAAATATATCAGAAAAGCTATGAGAAATTTTGTGGTTAGATAGCTGTCAAAGACTTTATCGTCGAAAAAGTAATGGTCGCCGAAGAAGTTTGAAGCTTATTGAAAGAACGATTTTTTAATGAACTAAAAAATACCAAGCGAAATGCTTGCTTTTTGATAAAAATTTGGTAAAGTATTCTTTCATAAAATCAGATTGTTATTACTTTAAGCTCAATAAAAAGAAAAAATGAACGCGATAAATTTAATGCTAAAGAGGAACATTTCAACTTTATGCATTATAAATAATAGTAATAATATTCAGTTAGAAATTTGTGCAGCTTTCAGACCCACTTTATTTAATAGAACTGTGGAAATTAATTTGAAACAATCTCTAATGTTGGGAAACCATAAATAAATAAATACATATTTTGTAATCAGTTCTATAAATCAACTCAATCTATTACCACTCCCATGCACGAGAAAGAAAATGAAATTAAACTGTCCTGTAAAGCAACAATGAAATATATTGGGAATGCTTTGAGCATAACAATACAAGCAGAAACTTAACACAAAGCATTCGTACTTGCTAATTTATGCTCTCTGTTCGATTTAACTTACATATGTGCATATATTATGTATGTTTGATAATTAATGCGAACGCTTTTCAGTTGAACTCAGCAAAATCTGAGATCCCATTTGGCCTGCATGTGTCAATTTGCATAATTTGGCACTCTATGCTGCACTTTTCAATCTCACTCTGGCATCAAACTGTCATCAACCGAATACGAACGCTGTAATTTTCACAAATTTCCTAATGCAATCGCTTAATCAAAGCGCCTCGTCGATTTACTCACGATAGTCAGGATAACTGCGACGGCGACACATGTTCATTTTATACTTACACTAATCAACTAGCGATGTCTGACGCCGCGGGGGAATACCGCCACTAACAGCTGTCCTTAATTACAATGTAAAGCACAAGCACATGCGCATTCATGAGAAAACTAAAACCAAAGCAATACTCACACCCACACATACACATACATACACTCATACATATAAAGACAAACGTACTTGTTAGCTGTGGCGGAAGACTGCTTTTGGCGTCCTAACATCCAAATGACACCAACAAAGTCATTCACCTTGCACGAAGCCAAAAAAAAAAAAAAAAACGCAACGCAAAAATCGAAATCAAGTGAATATAACATATTATTTCAACAGCCAAATGGGGCACATACACACACACGCATATATAAACTGTTACATATATATTTATATGCTTGTACATGTATGTGAAATTACCACCCATGGTGCCTTGTAGTTTATTGTGGTCCCAGCGTGCGATAAATGGGTGGGAAGTTAGCAAAGTAGGCGCATGGAATTGAGGTGAATAAGCGCGAACATATCGCACACACACGTTTTCACAACAAAAAGGCAAACAAAAGGAAATCAATCTTTTGAAAGCACACTAGGCGGCATTTGTATTTAGATAAATTCAAGTGAAAGTGAGCTGGAAATATTAAATTTCTATCAAAACATTTGTTGCTAATCTTAAAATATTAAACCATAAGATCTCATAGATATTATACATTTTAGAAATAATTTGTGTAAAGTAAATTTACCTAAATATATTTATAAAAATAATAATCAAATAATAAATCCAAATCTTAGTCATATTCCAAATATCAATTCGCCTTTACACAAAAATGTAAAACTGCAAGAATTATCTTATTCGTCTCAAAAAAGTATTCGATACGTGAATAAAAATTAAAGCTGTACATATAAAAATATTTACTACTGTTTTAATATGTACGTATATGTAACATATGGATAGGCATATGCATACACGCACACACACTGCTAAGCAGTCTAACACATATGTATATGTATGTGTATAAGAGTACGAACAATTCACAGCACGCCTTGGCTTTTTATTTAATTTTTTTATTTTTGAAATTAGGAGCTAGGCTTCTGTGGCATTGGGGAATATTTGCATGACGTTGTGTGTGTGCTTTTCGTATGATTTATGACCCGTATTGTATAGGTGCAACAATGCGTAGAGCACACGAAGAAGAGATAATTACATGTGCGCCAAGCAGTATGCTACACTTTTTTCATTTACTGAATTGTTCAAACAAATGACGCATTATTTTTTTTTTTTATATTTTTACATATATACAATTTATTAAACTAGTTTTCTACTACCAATATGGCAGCTTAAGCTTGTTGAAAGTTAGGGAATACAAAAGTTGTCTATATTAAGCATCTATACTTGTAGGACGCTCTTACATCTATGTATAGTATATACAATATTTACAATGTTTTACATGAAAAATGAAATTATATTTTATGATATATATTATATATTTTATACAAGGGATCTTATGGGGAGATCCTTTGGATGGCACTTCTTCACTCTTCTCTTCTTAGGTTTGGACAGGAAATTAGAACTGAGAGTTTCAGTCAGGACAGTTCGAATGTCCAATTGTCAGTCTGTCAGTCAGCCAGTCAGTCAGTCAGTCGTTTAGGAAGTCATTCAGTCAGTCAACCACTTGACGCGCTCAGATTTGGTTGCACGCCAACCTTTGTCATCTTTTTTCTTTCTTTTTTTATACGCTTACTCAATCGCCGCAACACAAGAAATAGTGAGGGCTCAAAAAAAAATTGTAAATCGGTGTAACTCAATACCAAAATGCCAAACATGTTGTGCTAGTTTTTTAGCGTGCGCAACAATGCAAAATGCCATCCACATGGTCTGAAAAAAAAGCTCACTCTCTCGTGTGCGCGCTCTCTCTCTCTCCCTCTCGCTCGGTTGGCTGGAATGCGCTTGCGCTTTGGGCAGCTGAAACAATATGGAATTGAGACAGAGGCTCGCAACGGACCTATCTCAACTAGCAACTAAATTTGTAATTATGCAAAGAAAAAGCTATAGAAACTAATTGCTAAACACTTAGAATACCCAAAGGCCTAATCACTAGTAAACTCTTGCAGGTCCGCGTTTTTCATTTCATTTATAAAAAGGCAAGGGAAATGCTGTTTTGAATTACATTCCACATAGATTTCACAATGGATAAACGTACGAAGCAAGTCGTTTTATTTCTCTCATTCACATTAAAGTCTGGTTAAGAAAGTTTTTTCTCGCCTCCCAACATTATTGCTCTTACATTCCACGCATGCAAAATTCAAAAAGCTGTAAATCACATGCGCTCATCTCAGCTGCTTGCCTCGTTTGAAATCCACTCACAAACACACTCACACCTACAGCTGTGAGCCTCACGACCGCAATGCCAATGCTCGCCACAAAAGACGCCTAGATTTGTGATGCCTTAATGCACACACACACACACACACGTACAAATATACCTACACTCAAACAGCATCCACATGAGCGCCAATAAGTAGACAGCAGCATTTAACAATACACTCGTATATATTGTTTTTGCTGTGTAATTTTATACACATTTTATTAGAAAAGCTACCAACTTTAATTTTAAAAAATTATGAAAATATGTAAATAAAAATTATTCTAAGTTCTAACTAATTTTAACGAAATTTTTGCTAAGAGTACCTCTGCAAATAACAAAAATTCTAAACAACTTTTAAAAGGGGTCCTCTGACTCAAATCCATGCTCGGCTACATGTTATTGAAAGAAAACTAATTATCTGGAACGCAATTATCAGAAGTGCTTTTCTTTCATTTTTTTTTAAGCTAAGCCCACATAATAAAAATTCCGATTTTAATTGAGATTAAATTAATGGCAATGTTTTATAAACTCTGTTCCCATTTCCGATTGAAGAGTATTTCAAAGTTTTTAATTGATTTCAAAGCATATTTATAGACTTTCAATTGATTACAATTTTAATGAAGGATTTTTTCTATGTAGAAAGGGAATCACAAAATCAATTAATCGATTCTCAGATATATTTTATAATATTGAAGACAAAATGAGCCGAATTGTCGGCATACTTCTATAATACGCCATTAAATTATTTTCTAGTATGCTCTAAATGCAATTCCTTAGGCTACCTATTACCCGCTATTAGATGTGTCAAACTTCAAGTGTCACCTATTGTGTGTGAGTGTGTTTGTGGCAAGCGTCTCATTATTATTATTTGCACCTACGTTTCGTTTCATTTCATTTTTTCTCTTTTGTTTTGTGTTATTCCTGGTGCTGTCGTTCAGATCAGTTATTGCCTAGCGGCCATTGGCAGCGACTACTGACTCTGCCTTTTTTTCTCGGCAGCCGCCGCGTCGTTTTGTGGCAAACCGCACACAGACACAACGACGCGCTGGTCATAAACCAAAATCGGCATGCAGGCTGGCAGGCAGGCAGGCAGGCGCTATGAAGACGATGGCGTCTGCAAACGAAGTAAAATTAATGAAAATCGCTTGAGCACACACACAAACACATGCAATTAAAACGGCAGCCACAAACGTCCTTGCGGCAAGCGCGCTAACTGACTGACTGGCTGGGTGGGTGAC